TGGAGACAGAAGTGTCAAGAAAATGAAAATATGTCATCAGATATGTTTGAGAGGTTGATGAGAGAAAGAAGAGAAGAAGAGGGGTCATTTGTAAGTAAGAAAGGTGGTAAGTGGAAGAAGAAGTATGAGAAGTTGTATGAACAAGTAAAAGATGAAGAGTGGTTGAAGAAGAAAAAAAAAAACCAGTTGATCAAAGGTGGTATTGGGGTATTCACTTGAAAAAGCAAATCACAAAGTTGAAGAAAGAAAAGAAAGTTTTGGAAAAAGATTTGAAGAAGGAGATGGAAGAAGATAATTTGTTTTGGCGAAGAAGAAAAGATGATTGGACAAAGGAGAAGGATATTTTGGAAAAGGAGAAGTTGATTTTGGAAAAGGAGAAGGAGATTTTGAATAATGAGAAGAATTTTTGGAAGCGAAAAATACAAGAGATGTTATAGTAATTAAATAATTATATTATCTAGTTAATTTAATATATACTAAATAATATATAATTTAATTATAGGGAGAATATAAAAAAGAAGGTTGACGAAAAAGAAGTTGAAAAGGAAGATAATATAGAAGGGGTAATAGAAATTGAAGCAGATAGTTCTATAACTATTCGTGATTCAAGTAAAGAAGATGAAGAAAAGATTTTAGATTTGGATTTTGATGATGAAGATTGGGTAGATTGGCCTGTATTTGTTCTAGATGATAATGATAGAGGTGAAGGAAGTAGTAAAGGTAGAAGGATTTAAAAGTTGTAAGGATTGTTTTTAGTTATAATAAAGTCATTAGTTTTTGTTCATTAGAAAATTATAGCGCTATCCTATTACTAGATCTAATTATATTAAAGGTCAATAAAAGTCCAATAAAATATAAAATAAATAAGTGTTTAACGAAATTTAAATTCAATAGCCTCCAAAGATACTATAAGGATTTTGCAATAGGTCAATAATTGGAGCTGTTACCTATTGTCCTTTTTGTATTAGCCAGGTATAACAAAAACTTGTTTGCCCTTTACAAGGATTATTAGCTACTAAAACTTAGAAATATCTTAAAATATAACCAGAGGAAAAAGTACTAATAACCAGGCTGTCAATAGCTATATATAGCTTTAAATTCCAATAATATAAAGCTAGTATGTGCCAGTATACTATTCACGAATACAGCTATCACTTTATATTATTTACAAAAAAGAGAAAAACTATATTAATAAAATAATTATAAAGTCCAATAAAATAAATATAAATAATCTAAAAAAAATAATATCTAATAAATATATAATAACTACAAATAATCTAATAGAATAAAGTTCAATAATATAAATAAGTTGGATATCCAAATGGCCAAAAATTTCACGTACAACAGTTGTACACAATTAAAAAAAAAATATCACGTACAGCAATGATACAGTTAAAAATATCACGTACAAGAATTGTACTCAATTGAAAATATCACATACAGAGATTGTACATAGCTAGCAATACACGTACAGGAATTGTACACAGTTTTTAAATATCATGTACAGAAATTGTACACAGCCAAAAATCATATACATACAGGAATTGTATACAGCTCAAAAATAATATCCATACAGGAATTGTATATGGCCAAAAATTATATACGTACAGGAATTGTACACAGCCAAAAATTATACACGTACAGAAATTGTACATAGCAGAAACTTACTGCCTAAAATCCTTGCCTGTAGGAATTACCCTAGAGGGGGAATATAATATAAGTCTTGCCTGTAGGAATTACCCTAGAGGGGAAATATATTAATCTGCTGTTTCTAAACTAAAAGTTTAAATAACTACAAGAAATATTATATTCTGTAAACATATAGCCTCAACTTAATAAAAGTTGGCTCACACTATGATAATAAAGAAAATGAAATATCTATTATTATTTTAACTTAGTTAAAATAATTCTAAAACCAGTTATCCAACAAGAAGAGTCCAAATAATATAGTAATATCCAAGAAAGTATAAAGAAACAACTTGTTTAAAGGCAAGTAACAAGTTTATAAAATTCAAGTAAAAGCTTATCCATTGCAAGAACAAGATAGTTGTCAACACTAATCAAGATATTTTTATACTATCTTTTACTATTCTATAGGCCTGTTGACAGAGTTGTTGTTCCTTCTGTTATTATTGTTTCTTTTGTAATTGCTTTTTTTGTTTTAGTTTCAAGAACCTTTTATACTATTTCTTTTCCCAAAAACAATAACTTTTTGGTACTTTGTTTTCAAAGAAGAACACCATGGTGGAAAAGAAAATACTAATAACAAGTCAAATATAAGGTCTCAAAATGGAAAAAGAAAATAAACTTGGAGAAAGAAAAACCAAGTAGAGTAAAAATTTTAAACAAAATAGAAAAATCAAAAATTCAAGGTATTCGTATTAAGCTAACAAAGTTTATAACTTAGAAAGAAAATGTAGGAGGACTCTCTACGAATCTAAAGAAGGTGAAAACATCTAAAACGGTCAAGTGGATGGCGAGATATTAAAGGTCAAAGTTTGTGTAATGACATTTGTAAAGACAAAATTTTAAAGAAATTTACAGTAAAGAAAAGTGAGTGAAAACTTTAACAATTTTTACAGCAACAGGAAAGCTTTTGGTATTAAGCAACCCATATACCAAAAGATGAAGAATGTTTTCAAGAATGTAAGAAGGTGAGATTTTTAAAATAGGGTCAATATTCGTAGAGTTATTAAAGAAAAACTAAAGCTAACTAATGAAAATTAAAATTTTAAAGAAAAATAAAGAAAAGAAAAGGTGACAAGAGGAAGAGATAATGAATAAAGATAAGAAAAAAAATAGCCTGGAAATGTACAACAACAATTGCAAAAACTAGAGACAACATTAAACCAACAAAACCAAATCTTAGTCAAGAATGGGAAAGTAATAGTACTACTAGATAAAGAATCTGAGAAAAGAAAGATTATAATGTTACAGGGTAACTTTATAATGTTACACTAATAGATTTGTAGAACAATACTTTATAATTTATAGTTTATATTTTAGATATAATTCTAGTTAAATTTGTATTGT